TTTCGTTGTTGTTATTTACTTGGTAGTAAGTAGCGTTGGAATCAAGGAAGCGTGTTTCACCCTCTTTTGGACTCATCGAATGAATGCATTTGCAGTCTTAGTGAATGATTGGTTTTCCACTTAGACTGGAGTCAAGCAACCATTATTTTAAACATAAGTGTTACAAACTAGGACACTGGGAACACCATTGAAACACAGGTACACTCAGCTGACGAGATACAAACAGGACAAAGCGTGCGCTTTGGATCCCAATGGTAGACACTACCAAACAAATATTAGAACAGTTTTCTTTATAGATAAAATTCTACCGGTGGTCGCTGGTTCGAATCCCACTGCGGTCCAAATTTTCATTTCATCTTCAAACATCACCCAGTAACAAAATTCTACGTAACATGCAGTTCAGTTTATCATCATCGAGTTTCGTTTGAAATAGGATACTGATCTGAATCGTCTAATTCTAAATGACTTTGAGAAGGCTACTATATATGTGAAGAAAGAAGAATCAGAAAGTCCCGATGGGGTGATTCAATACATATTCGAAGGGGTTGAGACATCAGTCTCAGAATTAGCTGTAAGAAATGGACATGGAAAATAAGACCTACAGTAAGATCGAGGATTTTGAACTACCAGTATTCGTGTCTTAAATCACTGAGTGAAGATGGTACAGTTAGACGTTGACTTTAGGGCAATCAAGGTCAGTTCATCCATGAGATTGCGAATGCGCATCGAATAAGGTAGCCAGTTTACAGGTCATACAGACTAAATTATTATCTAACTGAACAGATTACAGTGGATAAAGTGAATTAGGATAGAAAAACCTACGGACAATAAAGATACGTCACGCCTCTGTGATGCCAGATGTGCAACAATATATATTGTTCTATGGGTACACTATTGTCGATTTGATGGCAGTTTTAAATTGACTCACAAACAGTAGTATCAAAGAAATGTGTAATTTTTCTCTCAATTAGTAGTACTATCAAGGAGGTACTAACTGCTGAATAATTTATAGTTTACCTCGACATGAAAACACACTTTTTCTGATACTAAATATATCAGTGCAAACGAACAAAACAATAAATGACATCCTGTAATACAACTAGTAACTTAAGTAATACTGTAAACAAAAGATTTTAGCCTTAAATCACTAGGCGTCGAGATTGTGGAATAGACTTCCCTGGAACATATCCGAAAAGTTGGCGCTCCTGTAGTTTTCGGATACACCTAGCTGTTTCTCGTGGAAATATTGGACTGTATTACAAAAAATGACGCTGAAACCAATCAAGTAACAAATTCAGGATGTGTATGTCGTTCATGCAGAGCGTAGAGTACCTTTTGAAATATGTATGCAGCGTAACCTTATTACCTACAAGTGGAAGTTGATACGTAACATAAATGATTGCTAATAAGCTTCAGTGATATGTAAGTGAACTCTGTATAGTAATAATAATAATAATAACAATAATAGTAATAATAATAATAATAATAGTAACAACAACAACAACAATAATGATAATAATGGTAGTAGTGTAGTCGGTGTTGCTGATAACAACGGATATAAGTAGTATATATCGAGAGGGTGGCAGGAATCATAGGGAATTACCGGCAATGGGTAAGGTTTCTACCAAGAGCAACGCAGGGGACAACACAGGCGTATTACAGGGGATGCTGCTGATAAGAGTGTATGAAGAGCCGGTCAAGAGCCAATCAAGACTGGAACAGAGAGGAAACGAAGACATTTGCAAATGGCTGCGTTAGTGCAAGGAGTACCATACTTAACGACTGCCATTCCAATTCTTCCTAATATAAATTATCTCGTCGGGTTGTCTTCTGTTTCTTCAGTAGTAACAACAACAACAATGAAGAAAGTACGCTTTTACAAACAACCTAATCAGGACAATAAATTGTAAATCTCCACAACCCCCTCAAAATTTAATAAATTGTATGTTTCTTGAATGATAAGGATGGAATTACCTTTGATTGTATTCAAGTGAATTGAGTCTGTTTTACAAGGGATCTGTTCAAAGGTTCAGGTCTTGGACCAATATTGAAACGGCTGGTAGTGAATGTTGTATACCTTCGTCGAATAGAACATCCTGTATGCCTGTTCATGGTATTTGACACCACATCGTTTGTCGTAGACTGATGAGTGTCCGTAAAAGACGACTTAGTGACTAAATCATTCATAGACCGAGAAGCTCGGGAATTTGTACTTTGTGAATCTAAACAGCCTCTGAAAAAAGAATGAAAAAAAATCTTTAAAAAGTCATCATTTAAATTGTGAAGGCTTCCTGACCAGCATAACGATGACATTCACGTTCATATTATCATCATGTATAGACAATGTGATCTGATTCGTCACCTTTTACTATTTAAACTATTGTACAGGTTTCATTCTCTGAAGAAGCAATTTGCACGAAGTCGCGAAACGTCAGAAATTTATTTTTCTATTTCATTGGGATTTTACAAAATATATTTCATTTATATCTACATTATTATCCACTCTCAAGACGCAGTGATACCTGATCAATAGCCACCAACTAAAGAGTTAAATATCTAGCACTTGTACAAGACCTACTGAACTTCATTCTGATACACTGAAAAACATATAAATTATTTGGTCGTAAAACTTGTTAATCAAGAGCTAAATTAACACTGTAAACAAAATCTATCAACAACAAAGACTCACTTTGTAAGGTTATGTATTTTAAATGAAATTTTGAGAGACAGCTTGTAAATAACACCAGGTTGAGCTTGTTTTTATTTATTTATCCAGCTTAATAACTAGCCACTGTGAAACATCACCAATATTCTAGCATAAGTGCTATCTGAAACCATTAGCTTTGTGGTTGATAGATATAGTCTTACTTCAGCTAAGAGGTCAACAGTTCAGTCTATGCTTTACATACCGACGTTGAGACGGTTGAGTTGTAACATTTGCCGCCACATAACAAGCAGTACTCAGAGTAAAGCATCGCAAACTGTTCATGCTTTCTAAATTATATTACTTCATGTCCGCAATAAGAACCAAATAAGATACTGAATTTGACTGAAACAAGGTATTAAAATCAGGATTACAAATTTATAAAGGAGTTAATCCAAGCAGTTATTTAGTGAATGCATAGCACTTTCCAGTAAGGAAATAATAACAATAGGTAGGATAAAACAGAGGGCAAAAACGTTTTCGACAAACCTTCGAAGAACCAAAAGAAATGTATGAAGTAAGACTTTAATTTCGCTGAAAATCACAAGCTACTAACAATAATATGAGTAGTGAACGAAAAATGTTAAAAAGTGATACATAGCTGAAAAGAGAGAACTAGCAAGTTTAGTGTTAGATGCTCGAAGTCTGTAGGCATGACTCCCTAGACGTGGGTTTCGTCTTTACTGGCACTCATCAACAAAGTCTACTTGCAAGAATAAGGTTTAGAGAGTTACAGAAAGTTCACTACACTCATTTGTGTACATCACTTCACCTACATTACAACAAAGATTTCAAGTAGAAAGAAAAGATAATTGAGTGAAAATTTTCCTTTCGGACGATATCATTTTCTAAAGCTGTACAATCGTATTTATAAATATGTCACAAGCATATAACACCCTATCATTGGACAATATGGTAAAGCTGCATCACTAAGGTGGTGCTAAGAAGCCGAAATCAAGAATAGAAAGTATTTGCGTAATGATCTTCTAGACAATGGAAATAATGAGAAAGGTAGGGCAAGGCGAAAATTGTTGGTAGATCTGAAATGCGATGATTGAGTGTCCACTTGATAGATATAAAGGAGATGAAGAAGGAAACAAGAGTCATGTAGAAGGTGATAACAGTAAACTAACTAATTATCGAAAATTGTGTTAAGACCACGGTAAAATAACAGATTGAATATACTTCTTTCGGATGCAGAGATCATGCTTGAATTGGTGAGTTGCCAGTGCTTCCACTGTGCACAACTATCGAAAGTGTACTTCTTTCGAACTATTCTCCCCTCAACAACTATGCAGAATAGTGCTCAGAGATTAGCTTGGAAAATGCGGGCTTCGTGCTGCCATTATTACTAGCTCCATTGGAGTAAGTAAACTTGTAGACACCCACTGAGGTGACCCAAAGCAGCAGCTTAACTTCAGTGGGACTATGGAAGCCAATACTCAAGAAACACTATATGTTTAAGTAATATCACTAACATTGGTGTGCGACGGCAGATATAGGGGTAGGGTCATCTAGGGTTTTTAGATCAATTATATCATATGCTAATTTTTGAAACAGAAAAGAAAGTCAATATTCTCACTACTGACTAGAGCTGCAGAAAAAATATTTAAGTAGTAGGTTTATTAGTCTAAATACAACACCAGTAGGCATCAAGGGGATTGTCTAAAGGACATCAAAAGCTGTAACCATGAAAATTTCATCATCTTATCAAACATAGAAATAATTACTTTCACTTAGGAAACCAATCTCCCACCAACAAAATAGGTTAAACACAATGAAAGTCACCTCCATTTCAAATATCAGGTTTCCATCTGCATACAGAGATGCCTTCTACAGTGCACAAATTCTCCTCTTCCATCTACCTTACACCTATGAGATTCGTTTTATTAAAACAACATAAGCGGATGCTGAGCAAGCAAAGGACTGTTAAATCATTAGACAACCAATTTTAATCACCGCGTCTCTGTTACGAATTTTGGACAGAAATACATGGTAGATAAGTATAGTGGGTTTTTTTACAATGTCTCTATCATGTTTGTTTGGAAGTTAGATCAGATGAAGTGACCTTATTTCATTGTCTGAATGTACACGAAAACAAGTCATCAAAAGCAAGCAAACAAACAAAACAACGTGAAGAAAGTATCACTGAAATATGATATTTATTTATTTTTCTTCTGTATTCTTGTAAAAACGTTTAAGATGTATTTTAGTTTGAATGGTTATCGTCAATAAAATGAATCAGTGCTTTTTATTTATCATACCTCATTTTTCTGTTTTCGCTCAAAAAAGATAATGAGAAATAATTAAGGGTAGGTGAGTAATTAACACAAAACTCATTGTATTCAGTTGTTAGTTGACCATAATGATAGTAATAAAGTAATGCAACTCTGTAGTTCTATGAACTAACACATGTAAGCCACCGATTGGATTAGATAAGATGAATATGTCGGCAAAGAAAAGTTGACATTAAATTTATCAATTATCTGACATAACGCAGTAACAAAGCATTACTCATTGGATGATGATTCGAACAGAATTTATTGCCGAAAATCATCGGAAAGTAGTCGTGTAGATTTCAACATTTGGATTTTACAGTTTTACTAGCTTTTGTTCGGTGGTTTTAGCGACAGAAGAATATTCTTATGTTACACGCTGCTCATAGGAACGAACCTTAGTTAATTCCCAAGCTATTCTGCAACGCAAAATGACTAAATGTCGTGACTTTGTGATAGGAAGCAGCCTGAATGGAAATCAACATCTTAAGATACCAGCCGCTAAGGTAGAAGCTTTGGATTTCAACATCTGTTTTATGTCACTGTGTGGTCAGGAAAAACCCTCTTGGACATCTGCTTCGTATGGTTGACCAATTAAGATAAATGTACAACTGTTGACCTAGTAGTTTTGTATGTTCATAAATAATGTATTATTATCGAAAAAAGTGCCTCCCATACAGTCACAGGCCGGTCTCTGTCTTCTGATTTTCGCGGCTCCGTGAAGTATAAGGTTTGGAGGGAGAACTGTCTCTATTCGTATTCAGTCTGAGTGTCTCATCGCTTTATTATTATTACTATTATTCTCTCGTTCACTTCACTTTGCGTTGCGAAATATTTTTATCTCGTATTCCATCGCTATGGACTCAATTAACAAAGATCAGAAGTCAAACGTTTTATTTTTCAGTCACCTACCTACCGATTTATCTATCTATGTAACTATATCGATCTTTAATGATCGCGATTCTTTCTCAGTAAACAACATTATCTTGCAGCAATAAATAAACAGGTTTTTACGAAAAGTATTTATTTAGGAGTGTCTAACATTCTAAAATCAGTTCCCATGTTCTCATAACCTGCTCAGTTGATTTCGACCCCTCGCTCATACCTACGCACTTGACCGAACAGTCATTGAACACTATTCAGTGGACAAGATTGTTTCATCTTAAGGTTTAACATTTGATATGCAATTCGATGGGGGTTGTAGAAAAAGTGAGGCTTCAGGTTCAAGTGTTGCCTAGATCAAAGGCTCGGTAATGATCGTCGCCAGAGTTCCTCATGCCTTTCTATATCTGGCAACAACTTAAAAGGAAATCTCGATTTGCGTATATTTCCGCATTTTTACTTGTCAAATGCGTAAAATTCATAAAGTGCATAGATGCAGACAAAAATGCTAAGTGAAACATCAAACCGACTATGGAATATAGGAGAATAGTCAGACAACGATCATACCAACTGACCGATTTGAATAGGAATCAGATCAAATGTAATGGATTTAGGAAGATAGAAGAGTACGCCGTTGAAATAACGAAGATATGAGTCAATGCAGCGGTTAATAAGGTAAAAGCGTAGTATAAAAAGTAAACTCGAGTTTCATCGCATGTGCCTATTAGTTCAATTTTTGGACAACCAAGGAAAGCATATTTCTATGCATATGACAAGAATGAGTAAGAATGTATGCTTCATACACAATTTAATAGATTCATTCTGACAAAAATCGAACCACTGGTCATGCTAAAAGAAGTAGTAAAACTAAGTAACATGACCATTTTAAGAGTTCTGTTTATATTCAGATGGTAAAATAGACTAGTCTTCAGAAAAGTCTTCAGTCAAGTAAATGAAGTTTTAAAAATCTTAATGGAATCACCAAACGCTACATAACATCATTCACTATCAGGAATTGTACTATCACTGTATTCCACCGGGTCAAACTCAGTAGGTACAGCATATCCTTTGGAGCCTAAGACAAACGTCAACAGGCGACAATATTAAGCATACATTTGAAAAACATTACAGAAAGGATAAAAGAGGCATTTGACTAAGAAGGAGAGATTGTACGTGTGTGTGAGTGGGACACAGAGAGACATAAAAGCTTCTTTTAATGGATACAATAAAGTGGTGATTAACTAAACAAACCACTAACTTGGAATTTCTGGCTTTGACAGTTGTTGGAGCCCCATACAATGGACTCCGACTAGTTACAGGTAATACATAGGCTGTCGGCACAAACGTTTTCGGAGGTCTGCTACCACCACTGACTGTTGAATGTGATGCTAGTGAAGTTTGATTCGGAGTAGTAGTGGTTGACGAAGTGCAATGATGTTTGTGATAAGGATTGATCGAAGATATCTAAAACCAATCGAGATTTACGAAATATCAACAAGATGGCAAAAATAATTTCTAAAAAACACACTAAAACACTGAGTATAGTAACAGTTCTGTCCAAAGTCAATAAAAACCGAACAACTGTTCAAGATCAAAACGTTTCCGATAGCAAGTTGGTTTAATTCTAGCAATATTTTAAACAATTCACCAACCAACGATGGCATGAATAGTCCAAACTATGATTACCTTTGACTTGAAGTTTTATAAAGCACTATAAAACTGCCGACTTCAGTCTGTCGGTAGCTTCCAATACCGCTATGATGGAGAACGATTTAAACCCTCAACACACCGGTGGAAACATATGTGTCTAGTGGAATTATATACAACTGCATGATACAACCAGTAAAAGAAAATGAAAATTAGTTCAGAGAAGGAAAAAACAAATGGATAAAACATGTCCACGTTTTAGACAGAGGTAAACTGTTAGACCGCACAAGTCAAATGTCTTGTCTTTGAGAAATATCACTTGATGTTTCCAGTTACCGACAGACTTTGTTATTAGTCAGATTTCAAGAGCTAATGTATTCACTAGGGAAGTTAAAAGGTCCGATATATTTAACCACTTAACTTGAAATAGTCAAATGAAGCTTAACTTTGGTCGGTGTGAAGCACAAGGTAAATAACATTCATTTTTTCCTTCAGATGCTTAGAATTTCGCATTTTACCAGCAATTTGAACTACAGAACTTTCATATGCGTATTAACAGACTCTAGTACAAAAAGTAGGACATCATACAGTGATAATGACAACTGACTGTAAGCTATCATGAAACCTAATAACTTTGGAGGAGTGAGTCTAATGACATTGGACATTTATTCGTCACTGAAAATACAGTTATTTTAAAAAAACCTTTACCCCCATCAAACTTCAATAGAGGCTAAAGAATGACTTTATGAATTGGTTATCTACATAGAGCAATAGCTGCCCTTAAAGGAAGAGGTTCTCTAGATACGAAATAAATAGCAGTCGATAACACGGCCCTTTTGATTTCAGTAGCCATAAAAAGTGGAGTCTCTCCAATAAAAGATTGTTGTGATAGGTACGAATTTATAACTCAAGAATTTAGGTGGCATTAGCAGAAAATTAATTCCACCAGAGAAGATTAATTTATTCTTTGTCTTTTACTATTTCAACCCTGAAAAGGTCTACTATTTATTGACCTCTTTAACTTGTATATTCTTATTACTTTTTTCCAATTCTGTCTACTGCTCCTCTCTTGTTGGTGACATGAATATAAGGACTGTTCTATGTCGATCTAGTCATTCCGCTTGCTGGTAAGTAGTGCGAACTAACTTAATATGTAATGCTATCAGTATACACTGGACGAAAAACGGTTAATAAAGAATGCAGAATTAAGAAATCTTCACAAGATACAATCAAATAGTCAGTATCAACCAGTAGGTGGCGAGACTATGATAAATCATTTTTGCAATTTCATGAAAATTGACTATAAATAAAGTGTCGGAATGATAACTCAACGCAAAAAAAGAATATTCATCACGTATTATTGCACATTCGGCTATATTCATGATAGTAGATTTAGTTATATGAAAGAAAAAATAAGAGTTCCATAAAGATAAAAATAGGGGGAAAAGGAAATATTTTGACCTAAGGATAAATCAAAGATAGCTAAATACTTTTCACATAAATCGCATATACATTATCTATTTGTTTGGACACAGAATGTCAATCTATAGTGACAGGGAAGAAGAGAGAGTGGAAAGGTAAGGCTACTTTTCACGACAAATTATTTAGTTATCAAAAATTGAAGTAAGTGACCCGATTACAAAGCTTAATAAATTATTGAAGACGTAACGATTGATGAGAGCTATATAGCAAGATACTCTATACCCTTGTTACGGCTGGATTCAGAATTATTGCAAGAAGTGATAGGATTACTTTTACTTGGTGCCCAGCAGAAGAATTGATTTCGATTCAAGTAAATCACAATTCTGATGACGAGAATCAGTCACAAAGTGGTGCGATATAACGAAGAAATGTCAACACGTCAATAGAACAGGCCTTTGGAAAGAAGTGAACAGAATGCCGATTTTCAGTAAAGAAATGACTTATAAGTCCTTGAGTTTTAAATAAAACATGCAAAGTTGAAAACGGAAATATACTGTAAATTGGGAAGAATGGAAATTAAGACTATATTTTACCAACAAAGGGTTTGCGTAAGCTATAGGGTGAAGTTTCATAGTCAGTAGTGACAATGAAAATGAAACCACTTCACAGTATTTATCCTTTCAATAAGTTATTTTAAATCTCTAGACTACTAAAAACGTGCAGTTGTCTACCACCTAGGGCCACAATTAAGATGATTTTCGGTTAAACTGTATTATTTCCGTCAAATCTTGCTTTCTCGACTTTCATTAGGAAAAACAGAAAATCACTCCTCATGATTGATGTATGAGCGTTTCATATGTGTTAACTGCATCAGTCAAAAGTCACTCTCGGAGTCGGTACACAGGCATACTGTAATTTAACAACACAGGGTATAGGGAATACCGGTAAAACAGAGAACACATTGCACAAATAAATACTGTTGGCTGGGATGAAAGAATTCAATTAGGACTATAGAAGTCCAAAAGTTAGTGAATAGCAATCTCTCAAATGAATTTCCGGTGTTCATAATAATTATATCAAGCCAATGTTATGGCTTGGGTAGGAAGAAAGTTTAGTTACCAATGCACAACTAAAAGTGAGCGGCAATCACTTACTACCCGCCAACCAATAACTTGTTTATTATTCATGATCAAAGTTTAATGTTCAGTATAAGCTTAATCAGGAAGGACAAGAAAACAGCCTAATTAGAATGAAAACAAAGCAAAATTTGAGTGGATAGCGAAATTGATACTATACGGCAAAAGTATATCAGGAGAAAAGCAACAATGTGAAGTCGATCAAAGAGATTCCCTCAAATAGAATTTGTTATTTTCTATTTTAACTCCTTCATCTAACAAAACATAATGAGTAAAATCTTCACTTGTATCCTCCTTCGTCTAGATAGCTTTCTGTTTTTATGCTGTTGTAAAGTAAACAAAATCGAACTGTTATACAGCCTTCTATTTTATGCACATATATGCTTCCATTATGCTATACAACAATACATAAGTCCATTTCAATAACATTCATATACTAGACTGTTGGCAATATCTAAAGTGTGAATACTGATGATACAATATGGTAAATCTGACTGAATCAAGCAGGGAAGTGAAAACAGAATCATCTGTCAGTATGAGACAACTATACACAGAAAATTACAAACATTCAATCGGTTTAAGAGGAAGATAATGATACAAAACATATAAATGCACGACAATTCAGCTTACAGAATTAGAACGGGATTGCTTCATTCGGGCATCCAGTTCTGAACAAATATTACAACTTTCTGAACAGCTCAATTCTGATTTATGCGTAGAAGACATGTGTAGAGGATGAATAAATTCACCTGGAGAGATGGGATCCATAGTACTCGAAAATGATTGATTTGGTGAAACAGATAAAGTAATCGAGCGTGGAGAGAATGTGGAACTGGAATTAATTAGCAATCGTGGGGAGAGTATATCTCTATGACTAGAAACAGAAACAAAAAAGGGAAGAGAAAAAATTGGGGTGAATTATTTTGAATGACAAAGCCTAACTAACATACAAAAACGTTGAGTGTTTAATTAAATCTTAGTTCAGAGTACCTTGAGCAATTACGAAATATTAAATTTGAACCACTGTATCTTCATTTAATGTCAAAATGCTTGACAAGAAAAGCAAACAGCGGTGAAGCAGTCCTAAGCTACGATGTGTTTATCAAAATGCATTTAAGTGATTCTCAAATGAAAACCAACTTCGTGGTCACATTTCATGTCTCAGACGGAAGTGTATCGGTTCAGGCTTTCCCACTTCACACAAACGTACAAGGAACAAGTGGATATGGTGATATCAAACTAGAAAAAAGTGTATGGGAGCGAAAACAATTTTAAAAAGTTCAGGTTAAATAAAATGTCCAAACCTCAACAGATGTCAAAAAGTGAATACAACTGCGGCATAGTAAACGATTTTCAGTCACATTGCCAAGCGTCTCCAATCACTGATTCACATAACTTCAATGATGTCAAGCAGTCATTTTACAACTCCCTACACAACTAATACCAATGGTAAGAGTCTTCATGAACCAGTGCCACGTCTCCACCTAATCACACTAAGTCTTCTTCCGATCGGAACCTATTTCGGTTAATTTTGCATGCCCAGGTACACAGGTGCTGTCTCGGCATCCATAATACGTGTCAAAACCGCTTCAATCGCTCAAGGTTCACAACCCTATCGACTGACTCGCCTTCCTTGCCTAGGAACTCCCACCTTACTTCGATATTGCTCATGCAATGATCTCCCATACACGTGAACAATGCTGTGAAGATACATGTTTTCAAAAACCTATAATTTCTCCACCTCTTGTACTTTTACCAGTCATGTTTCACAGATATGCAACAGGACAAAGAGAACTGCAGTACAGTATACTCTCCTTTTAACAGTTAGTCGGATATCTCGTCAGTCGGTCCCTAAGATGACGCGGATTGCCTAGTGCTAGACACACCTTTTGTATTCCAGCTGAGATCTTGTCAGTAACCAACTCGTTCGTGCTGATGCAACTCATCACCTAGTAAGTCAAGATGTCAACGTATGTCACTACTTCACTCACTATCCTAAAACTGTGAGTGTTTGGAGACCAATACTGATCCATCATGCTACACATCACACGTTTGAAACACCTGCCAAATATGCCCAGATTTCATAGGGCCCTGTGTTTTGTCAGCATCTGTATCAAGCAGGGAAATGTTGTCTATGTACTCCAAGTCAACCAGATGCCCTCCACGGATTAAATGAATCCCCGTGAGGTCAAGCATTTCTAACGATAACCCTATTAATACATCGAAAACGAAGTTAAATAAAAGCCGAGACAGTAAACATTTCCGACAGACACCCTTGATTGTCGTCAACTCATATGACAACTCTACTTAAGCTCATATATGTATGCGTGAGTTCGAGTAGTGTTTCGATTAGCGTTACATATCTGCTTGGCACTCCCTTCACAGTTAGGCAATGCCACAACACTTAACGGTCAATGGACTCTAAGACCGCCTCCAGGTCAAGGAATGTGTCAAGTGTGGCTGCCAGTAAGTATACCTATGCTTAGTAACCTGCCAGAGAGTCAGAATTTGATCGATGCACTCTCGTTGAGGTCTGAAACCCTCCTTACTTTCTCGAGTTTGTTGGTTTCGAGCTGGAGTTAGGCGTCAGAAAAATATGAGCCCAAGAATCTTGGACACAATCTTGACCAAACTGATTCCCCTATGGTTGTCGCAGAGACATCTCTCCTGTCTTACGTACTGGGATGATCAGGGATGCAGACCAGTTTGATTCCCATAGACTACCTATTACCTGCATTACTCTACTTAGCAATTAATTCCAACCTCAAAAGTTTCCAGTATCTTTTTTAAGCCTAAATAATTGCCGAGTATTGTCTAATGCTGATACCTACTCCATTTTCACCACACATCGCTGCTAGCGATCAATGTGAACACTCTTGATCGATTCAAGTTTGAGCAGCTTTCGCTATTCATCGCGGTCAGAGCCAGTTGGAACTAGTCTTCTCAGACCAATCAGTTCGGATGACACCCCAGGAATCCATTCATCTTGGCTTACGTTTGGATTCAGGTTACCAACTGTGTATACTTTTGTTTCTAGAGCGGATTGAATATCACACCAATTCCATATTAGATTGGTTTATTTGGTTTATAACTATACACTGATATTGGTATTATTATGAGCAATAATTTATGCTCGAAACGTCATTAAGTAAATAATACTGTAACACTGTGTTTTGTATATCAAATAAACAAATCTAATATGGAACTAAAATACCACAGTGCCCAAGTTTTACGCTTATATTAATACCACACCAAACTTAATCAGGATGAGAATTTGAGTCAAATTCAGACAAATGCTAAACTATCTCTTCCTTAAACATATGGTGGGTGTTTTCGTCTTCCAGCAAAAAGCAAACGCGCTTCCCTGCTACCTGTTTCCTACAATTAGTAAGACATAAATATACAAGTGTCCTCAATAACGTGTGATCAGAGTCCAAATAGCCACTACATAGGGTGCAGTCGTCCTCTACAGATCCTCTCCAAAGATGACTTACAGCAATGTGATCTATCTATGTCCATCGATGGCTTGATGTCGGTGGACGCCGAGTGAGGCAATTGCTGCTATCGCACCCCGTCTAGCAAGCAGTGCGACTTCGTCCCTAGGCACCATGATAACTTAGCAATTTACACCATAACAGTAACTGCTTTTCGTCTCTCCACTATGCAACAGACCTTTCTGGTACGCTGTGATCTCAATAAACAAGCGTCCCAACCAGCTAAGGTCGTTGTGATAGCATGCCAGATGACTACGTCAGCGTAGCAGCTATCAGTCGGGAAATTATATGTGACTCAAACTACCTAACGTGATAATGAAAGGTGAGTTCTTCAATACACAATAGAAAATAAGATGTTCATAAGCCGTGAAAAATCGTCACATTATAGATGCCTGTTGTTTGAATAGCCGTAGATAGAATGTAGATTTATGTAACCAAATGTCTAGTATTTTAAGGAATGTTTCAAGTAGACTCAGAAACTGCAAGCCTATTCAACTTTCATTCACACTGGAACTCATGAGTTGAGTGTGTCTGTAAACAGAAGTGAGTGGATACTCTCTCAAATAGGATAAAGTTTAGTTTTTCAGTGATTCAATAGAAGACACTGAATTACTTTTCAGGCGATAAATACAATTTATACTGTAGTGATAAGGATAAATAACAAAGTACACGGTGGGACAGAAATGACTTTTCTGTCCATTCATCGAAGCAGTGCACATACACGCATACATACAACAAGGTATGCAAAGAAGCATTAGATGCAATCAAATAAAAATGTCAATAAAAAACAAATTAATAAAACCCAGAATTAGTCCAACATGTTTCAAAATAGTGTCCAGATGTAGGCCATGTAAAATTAAATAAATCTGATATTTCATTACTGATAAAATGTAACAGAATGTGGATAAAATAAATCAGTGATTGACGTAAAGTGATAATACCACCGTAACTAAAAAGAAGCATTTAAGAGGATGTATAAAAAAATATGTTATCACCAACAGGACTGTATACATGTCTACGCACGCACTTACAAATATATAGGTGATTACGGATAAACACATTCTCTTATAAGAAACGTAGGCGGGATATGATCATGTTTAAAGTCTCAGCAGTTTTAGTTCGAGTGACTTTAAAGGTCACCCTAGCAACTGCTGAATAGACCAATCAGGCTTCAGTATTTCACCTGGGAAATTACTTGGTCTTTATGCTTAAAAATGAAGAACTATATTTTCTTAATGATATAAAAATATGACCACAACAATCCTTAGTAGATATATTATCCGTTCGTATGAACCTTTGGATCAATAGCGCGCTTCATTTGCAGCCTATTGGTAAAACTAAAGTGTACAACTGAATATTACTTATAGAATGTCTATTTCGACGTGATAAGCTAGTTGGATCCAGAGTAGAACAAAAGCAGCTTATGAGTGATCGGCCAGAAGCAGTGAATTCTATCACTGTTTAACTGAGCTGATAAAGAAAGCGTATACACTTCTGAGAGACAATAGGAATCATTCATTACAGAATATAGGCGATGAGACTGGAGATTCATCGCAGTGTACCAGATACATATAAACCTTATTTCCATTCAAATCATGAAATACCTTGCTGTTCTATATTTTTGCCCCAAATTTTTACTACCTACTTTTATTTCTTTACGTTGATTTACGGTCACTTGATGATGTGAACCACGAGAAGATGCAACAAGATAGGTGTGCTGAACCCTGCGTTTCATGGTATGGGTCTGTTAGCATATCTCACATGAGACACTGGCTAAGTTGGTTCAAAATTGAATCTAAACTAACCTAACCACCTTAATCATCTGTGTCGCGTACAACTGTATTCATATAAAGATGTTACGGAAATACTCAAGTGCTTAATAACCACTATATATGCGTAGTTGTCTAATGACCAGGTAAATGACAGCAACGTTAAGCACAGGGTTTTAGACAAGAGATGCAAATGACATCTTTCTGAAACTTAACCACTAGTCCCTTAGATATGCAATATTCATTAAATGAGTAGCAGGGTTAGATAACTTTTGAAATGTTGTAACCAAGATACTATGATAAAGTATGAATTAAATAGTAAGAAGATTTAAGCTATACTTCTTTAAAATACCAACCACCTTATCAAGAAAGTTTAAAAATTACGGTGACAGCCAGTAAGACAGTTTGTAGAAATGAGTGGATCAAGAGTACAATCTAATAAATAATTTGATGACGATCCAGATTATCAACTGGCTGTGTGTGGAGTGACTATAAGAACCACCCCAGCAACAACTAAAATAACCAATCAGACTTCTCTATTTTGTGAAAACTTGACTTTCCAGCTGAAATTGAGAAACCTAATTGGCTATTTCAATCGTTGTTAGGTTGGCCTTTAAAGTCGTCCCTGTATGTGGAGTGACTCTAAAGACCACCTTAGCAACAACTAAAATAGATAATTAGAACCCTTTTTTATGAAAATTTGCCTTTCCGACCGAAATAGAGGAAGCTAATTGGTTATCTCAGTTGTTGCTAGGGTGGTCTTTGCAGTCGCCCTTATAGTCAGAGTGACTTTAAGAGCTACTAGAAAACAGCTGAAATAACCAACTAGACCTCTCTATTTGATGAAAATTTGGTTTTCCAGCCTAAATGCAGAAGCCTGATCGGTCATTTTGGTTGGTGCTAGGGTGGCTTTTAGAGATACCCGGTTTTAGGGTGGCTCACTCTTAAAATCAGTCCTGCATATGGGGGTGACTTTAAAGGCCACCCTAGCAACGATCGAAATAGCCAATTAGGTTTCTCCATTTTGGCTGGAGAGACATTTTCATAAAATAGACAAGTCTAATTGGTCATTCCAGTTGTTGCTGGGGTGGCTTTAAGCTCACAAGTATGTGGGCTCTGAACTAATCAAGGATACAAGTCTCTGAATGACAAGTGCAGTAGAATTTAGGATGAACAAATGTAGAGATTTTAAATGTGACTTTAAAGGACACCTCGGCAACTACTATAGTAACCAATCAGGTTCTAGTATTTCAGCTAGAAAAGTAGTTTTTCATAAAATACAGAACCCTAATTGGTCATCTCAGCAGTTGCTAGAGCGGTCTTTGAAGAATTTTGACTTATTCAATGTATACTACGACTGAACACCTTGCGCAGTTAGAAACCACTCAAGCTAATCTGTAGATTTCGACAGCTGATGAGCTTGGTCCCATACGCACGAAACGTTATGTGACATTTTTTCCTCACTATCAAACCAATTAAAACAAGAGAAACAGCTCTTTTAAAGATCACGCCCACTATAATTGATGAGTACTTTTACATCTAATTCCAATCGAAAAACATATATGAAGGTAATAATATCAGACTTCTTGAAAGATATAACAGTTTATCAACCACATTTTTTGGATTGATGGGGTAAGGATGAACCCTACTCTAGAGAAAATGGAGCACGTGACAGTGATAACCTTCCATCATTTAGGTTAGTATTCTAAAAAACGAAAGTTAATTCACTACTCAGTTTGCGTGGATGTGTGTGCTGGGAAAAAAACCTACGGTAATTACATAGGACTTTGTAACAGCTATTTAAGTTGACAAACAGATACCTATGGTTCAGTTAGGAAACTTGTAGGTATTCGTCGACTTCAAGTGAGTACACACCACGGACTGTCATCAGTTGGAAAAGTCTAACTTTGTTAAGTTCATATTTTAAACAAAATGAAATGGACTTGTGAAATAATAATGACCGTTGCAGTGCAATGTCTGAAAACGACTCATTTCGCATTTTCTTAAACGAAAACTATGGAACTACGACACGGGTGACACATTTGTGATAATTAAAAAGAGGAACTAGAGATATAGGTATTCCGATCAACAACACCTTTTCTAAAATTCCTTGCACAAATGTGGAAGGAAACAGCACCTTATCAGTCTTCCTAGATGTTGTATTTGCTAGAGTCAGTGATAAGAGCTTAGACACTTAGTGCAGCGAATATATAATTCACAGAAACTAAATACAGAACTTCAATGGTAACCAAATGAATGGGTACGAGAAAAGTCATCGTAACACAAATTTATCCACCTCCATCCTAGTAGACAACTATGGTTGTAATCTTAGGCAGTACTCAGAAAAAACAGTAATCAACTGCCATACATGCTAGGATATTATTCATGATCAAGTAGCGAAGCGATTCATGCAGAAAAGATATTTGATTAGTGACTGGAAGGATAAAAGAAGCTGAAGTTGAACTATGTGAGGAGGTGAACAGCTGAAACAGTCTAACAAACCAGAAAAACCGACAAATACGATACAATTAGAAAACAACAGCCTTCAGAACAAAATGAATGCTAAATTCTACAACTCAGTACAGTACCACTATCGATATGTACCCGGCGATAAGTCACATACTGTGTGAAGACTGATGATACTACTCGACTACCCCGACCGAAGTAGGTGAAGTAGGGTTCAAACTTGAGATTTTATGCTTGGTCAGTTGCATATAGATAGAATAACGGAAGAAAATCAACCTAGTACCAGGTTCCCAATTACCAAAGGAACTGTGACTCTAAATCCCATCAGTGTTCGCAATGTAAATGATAACAAGCAGGCTAGAGGAAGTATTATTATGAAAAATGTCAACTAAGTGGGGATGTTAGTCGGAATGCAACACCAATTTTAATGGTAGGGGGAACATTTTAAACGTTGGCGCTATCTCTCAAAAATATTTCACAAAAATAATATCTGTAAATGGAAATCCTAAGGCGCAAAATCTAGTAATCAGTACCCTTCACATAGATAAAACATATTTTGCGCATCCATGAAGCATTAAAAGAGGATTTCAGAAGCATTCTCGCTTCGCCAAAGTTGGCTTTCCACACAATTAAAACAAACAAACATGTAATGAGTGAGAGTCAGACACACAGAATCTACGTCAAACCTCACATACAAGTGCATCAGTTCAAGTTACCACAATTCACAGCAGTACACAGAAAACAAGTGTATAGAAGAGTAATATCAAAGTGGACAAAGTTGTGTGAGAAGAAAAACAATCTGAAAATGACGATTAGTGGGAATATTCAAGATTCAGAAGACACCAAACAGTGAATACGTGTGTATCATTGTGACCGACTTTCAGTCATGTTACTAAGAGTCCCCAACCACTCATTCCTTTCATGTCAGGGACCCCAACCAGGCAGTCTACATCTCCACACACAAATCAGACCAACAGTAAGAGACTTCATCGACTGGCCTCACGTCTTTGTCTCATCATGCTCAACCCTCTTCCAACCTAATCCAATTTACCCTAGCATAGCACATCGGGGTAGGCAGTGGCTCGACATGTGCAGTACATGTTCAAGCCACCTCGGTCGACTTAGGCTCACAACCCCATCAACCGACTTACCTGTCTTGCCTAGTACCCTTCGCCTAACCTGAACATCGCTCACACGGTGATTCCACCATATGCAAGCAACGATACGAAGACATCTGTGATCAAAACCCAGTAATCGCTTCGTGTTTTCTACTTTTAACGGGCATGTCTCACAACCATGCAATAGGACAGGATGGACTGTGGCACAGTATTCTTGTACGCGACAGTCGGTGCCACAGGTTACGCATGTTGGCAAACGTACCTTCTGTGGCTGAGCTGAGATTTTGTCAGTAACCAACCAGTTTGGGGCAGGCTGATGCAACTCCCCCGAGCAGGTGAAGCGGTCGACACATTCCACCACTTTACTCCCTCCCTATCATTCACCTGAAAGTTGTTTAAGTCAAGTCGTGAAGCATCATCTTACATTCGACAGGTGCCAGCAAAACGCATGCCAAACATACTCAAATTTCTGCTCAAGGTGTCCAGAAGACCCTACATTTTGTCACCATCTTCACCTAACAGGATAATATCGTTTGCATACTCCGGATGAACTAGAGAGTGAGAGTAACAGGACAATAATAAACCTGATAATGTAATTCACAGTAAAAATATTTTTGTTCACAAGAAGTGACATTTATATGTGAATGAAATATCCAGTACATTTGATAAAAGGCAACATGAAATGGATTCAACAGAACAATCCATTCGAAGCATCGTTAACGGAAAAAGAAGTAGAGGTAACTTACTTAGCTGATTTATTATCATTAGATAACGTGGAGGGCATAGGCTCGGGTGGTCGACTACGCTGAGGTGTCTGATGGAGAGGAAGAAGATAATAAAAGTCAGGAATATCAAATAACAGTGATTAAAGAAATCGAAAAAGTTGTACAGTGGTCGTCTGTCGTGCAAGATGAGGGAGATTACTTCACTAAACAGACCCACATTATTTACCAAAAAATGCAGTTACGTCAGATGATGGTGAGAAATCGCATGATTCACTTGCTGAAGACAACTTGGAAATCGGGTGATCAAATGGCCAGTAACCATCTGAATTTAAGCTACAAACTATGAAGCTGTCGACGGGAATTGCATACTTTCATATTAACACAGAAAAGAGGAATAAAAAATGATTCAAAGTTTACTTTGTATGGTAATCATGGATAGCAGCTAGCAGTGAAATACAGGAATCCAGAAGTGGCTATCGTGGCTTGGTGGTGTAGAGGATAACGCTCTGGCGTTTGAAGCGATCGCTCCCGAGTCCGAATCCCGATGGGAACAACATCACCCACTGGGGAGCAGGCACATCCAGCTGACGAGTCCCAAATAGGACAAAATGCGCATCCTGGATTCCACCGCTAGCCGCTATCCATTATTACTATCATTAGTACACAGGTAATATCGAGGCATCCGCACTGGAGCCCATATGCCAATAGAGACCGATCAATTCGGTCCAATCAACGACGGTATGCTATAAAAACAGTTATACTATTTACTTTGCATTTTTTGTTCAAGATCGGATGAAAATAGAAAGATTTTTCGTAGTTATGCATTCTGCACTACGACCCAGAGTTTTACAACTAGATACCTTAATTGATTGACTTCAAATTAATTTTTATCAAGAACTCGAATCAGTTTGAGAACTGGAAATCTGAAAGTGGTGCAATAGCTAGAAATCAAACAATCCCTAATTAACTTCCTGTCCATTGGTCACTAGTGACTTGTTTCTTGATGGGGTTCTCAAATTTCTAGAAAACAAATCATGACCTATTGAAGTTAATCAAAGTGGAAAGCAGGATAGAAGTCCAACAAAGACATTATATGATTTCTAGTTAGGCATCATATAACTATCGACCTCCCTCGGTTCTTATAGACTAGAAGGATTAGTGATGTAGGCCACTCAGATGGGACTACATCTGATTCTCACACACTACCTAGTATCTGCATTACTATACTCAGTAATTTTCTACCTTCTTTCTGAAAACCTCCTGTAAGTGAACCATCAGGTCTAGCTGCTTTGAACCGTATCACATTTGAAACAGTCTTCTCAAGGTTGAAGAAATTCAGAAAACTGACATCTACGTACCAATTCAACTGGCCAAAGGTTAGTTGAACTGCTTTTCAAGGTATGTGGTCTGAGAGAGCATTATAGATCAAGCCTTTTCAATGATGGCCTCACTAACAATCATCTTCTTGCCAGTATCCTTGATAGGCCAAAATTATTGCAGTCTACTGTCAGATGTTGAGCTCTTCTCAATTTCTCTCGATTTAGCCTCCTACTAGTGCTTGCCATCATTGCAAAGAAACTCAGCGATTTAAGTTTGAGCTACATTCGCTCCACATTGTGGTCAGAGGCAGCACACATGAATCTTCTTTTACCGGTTAGTTCTAATGAGTCTGCAGAAATTCACTCACGTTAGCTTACATTTGAATGTAGATTGCCAAAAGCAAACGAGTATCAGGTTTCGTCAGGATGAGAACTGCTGTGACATTCAGGTAAATGTATAGCCATACTCAGACTTTTCATTTTTCAGGTTGAAGTTTATAATCTACTGAGTATAAATTTACGATCACACCATCAATTTAGTTATCATTTATAACTTTTTCAAAGAAAAATGCTTGATCAAACGTCTCATCCGACAAAAATTAATGAAAAAGGCATCATAAGAGAAATAACTTTAAACCATTAAATCTATATCGTACAACACTGATTTTGGCTGAACGGATCATATATATATATATATTCTGAGCTTCAAACTGCATTAATTCATCAGCAATCAAACTAAGAACAAGACCATAAACAGGGCTGAATAGTCTAAGCGAATACTTTATATAATAGTATTCAGTAGGACAATCTGTTTATACGATGCTAGTTATGAACCGACAATAATACAGATAAACAAAATAACCACGATAACTGGAGTTTATATAATCCACACTACTACATTAAATTCATCACTTACAGTCAGACGATCATCGAAGCTGGCTGATTGACCTTTAGGTCGATGACACGGCCTGGCGGGGAAAGTGTTTTGCTCAAAGTGGCCTTGATTACCGACAATATTAGGAGATAATGTCCTCACTCTAGAATTTCTCAGTTTTGAATTTGACAGTAAGCTTTCAGCGCATAAACTATAGTCTGATATGGAAGGTTCATCGTATATGTTGGTATTACTGTTGCAGCATGACGCATCTATATACAGTCGGAATTGTTGTTCATTCGCTAATAAAAATGCAATAGAAACAAGAAAGTTTGTGAAAGACAACACCAGAATGTATCACAGCATAAAGTTATGAGAAGATAGCGATTATCACTTATCAAAACCATTATTCATAAAAAATTCATGATATAACTTTTCAAAATCCTCTGGTTGTTTATAGCTGTGAAACAGTGTACACACATGCTGAAATATAAATTATACAACTGATTTTCAGACACGACGACATTTGAACGTATTGGGTAAGGACATCAACAGACAGCATTTGAGAGTGTTATCAGTAAAAAGTACAACTGATAGGTGTTTAGTAACTAACAAACGTGAAACAAAGGAGGAAAACAACTTCGATGTATTGCATAATTCTTTCGCAATTATATATATATATATATATATATATATATATATATATATATATATATATATATATATATATATTGGATGCTTGAACAACAACCATCAGATTCTACCCCATGATAGTCACTCAGTTTCTCTTTAAATGGAGGTGGTATGATAAGAAGTGCATTGTAGCGTCAAAAATATGTGCGAAATATGATGGTTTAAATGTATGTACAGTGACCTTGGCTATTCTGCGGACTTTCAAGGACACAGGCATACTTATCTGCTGCCGAGACTTGCCATATTACTTGACCTGAAGATGTTATTTGACTTTGTCGACCGTGAACTGTTGTGGCAGTCTGACTGTTAAAGGAGTACCGGAAAAGTACATAACTCTAAGAAAATCTCCCAGCTCGAACTCAGGCAGCCAAGTAAGGGCTTATGGAGAGTGGTCGTGTGAATTGGTGGTTTCCAAAATGGATGTCCGCCGTTACGGTTCCTACTGCATCATAGAACTACTAATGGACATAGTCCCAGGTACCTCTAACTTCACAGAGTTTGACCTGCTCCCCACAAATCATCAAGTCTCTTTGGTATATGCAGATGATAGTGTTCTGTTAAGTGAAGACGCTGACAAAATGCAGGGTCTGAGTATATCTGACATGCGTTTTGCTGGCACCTGTCGAATGTAAGATGATGCTTCACGACTTGACTTAAACAACTTTCAGGTGAATGATAGGGAGGGAGTAAAGTGGTGGAATGTGTCGACCGCTTCACCTGCTCGGGGGAGTTGCATCAGCCTGCCCCAAACTGGTTGGTTACTGACAAAATCTCAGCTCAGCCACAGAAGGTACGTTTGCCAACATGCGTAACCTGTGGCACCGACTGTCGCGTACAAGAATACTGTGCCACAGTCCATCCTGTCCTATTGCATGGTTGTGAGACATGCCCGTTAAAAGTAGAAAACACGAAGCGATTACTGGGTTTTGATCACAGATGTCTTCGTATCGTTGCTTGCATATGGTGGAATCACCGTGTGAGCGATGTTCAGGTTAGGCGAAGGGTACTAGGCAAGACAGGTAAGTCGGTTGATGGGGTTGTGAGCCTAAGTCGACCGAGGTGGCTTGAACATGTACTGCACATGTCGAGCCACTGCCTACCCCGATGTGCTATGCTAGGGTAAATTGGATTAGGTTGGAAGAGGGTTGAGCATGATGAGACAAAGACGTGAGGCCAGTCGATGAAGTCTCTTACTGTTGTGACGCAATCTTTCGTTGCAGTGAAGATGTATTCAATTGTTATCCTTATCCTTTTTCTAGTCTCAGTGATTCTTGGTACCTTTTTAGTTGTTTACGACTTCAGTTTTATATAAAAATCCAAGTTGTCAATCACGAAAGCTGAATAGGATGGGGTACATTGCATAGTAAACATAATATTATCAACAAGTATGAAACACCGGAGTTCTACACGTCAATTTTGTTTCGTAAAACAATTTCAAAACAGTTGTGTGAATAAATTATTACCGTTTGATTTAAACTCCTCGGAAACCGAAATGTAGCAACTACAGATAGCATTCAAATGAAATGATAAAGAAGAATTGAAATTAAAATGCTTACTCGAAGTTGAAGGATCCTTGCAAAACAAAGTAGACTTAATCGGAAGGTTCTGATGGTAGCTGGAATTTTATTACTATGACTTCTGCCAACAGTGTTACTTTGATATTTCCATTTAATCCTGTCATCCATCGAATAATTTGCATCTAAACTCGATTTCATATCAGAATGAACATCATATGACTGCTTATTCGATGATAAAGAAAACTGTTTCAAGGTTGTAGAGCTTGAAGATATTAAAGAAGTGTTATTATTTGTAATGGTGGGTTTAACATCCACATGGTTCGAATTCATGTTTCCTGAATGGTCGAATGATTTTTGTGCTGAGTCCTACAAAATGATAAAAAAGCACAGTTGAAATTTCCCAAAAATAAGAGTGCACATAGCTACTATCAGAATTAAACTTAGCAAACACTGTGCTTACAATACTGATCACTTGATAATACAAGAACGCTATTTGTCAGGTAATAAGCAGCGTAATACTTTCCGTCCATTTATTCAGTTCAGTTAGTGGAGTGAACGTTTACTGGATAGGATGATTTATTGACTCAATTGCAGTAATGTATTTTTGAGATAAATGGGGATTTTTAATTGCAGTAGTTGAAAACAATATTACAGCTCACATAACTCATATCCCTTTACATACTCCATATGAATGAGGTTAATAAATAACTTATTTAAACAGATAACAGCCAATAGGAAAAGGCCAAAAATGAGAAGAAATCACTATGGATTATTTGGGTGTAAAAAATCTCTTCGAACTTGAAAAAAAGTAGAAAATTACTACCAATCCAGTTAACTACCAGAGAAATACGTTGATGTGTACAGGTTACAGTATTTTCAAGCAAGTATTAGTGGTACCGACCGATAGCTGCTACCTTGAAGTGGTGGTCAAGCTTGCATATCACAATGACCCAACAAACTATGCTGGTGAAAAGCTGGCTCCTTTGGGGTCCTACCATACCAGAAAGGTCTGTTGGATAGTGGTTAGACGAAAAGCAGTTACCGTTATAGTGTGAATTGCTACACTATGATGGGGGTCTGAGGGCGAAGTCGTACTGCTGCTAGCTGGATGGGGTGTGACAGCAGTAAGGTGTTTCCCTTGGATCACCAGCAGTGCCATGCTGATGCTGCCTTCTCAGTGAAAGGGGGGTTAGAAAAGGTCGGCCCCAAAAGAAACACACTCCACCATGCCCCACGGTCTGCCGGGCCGGCAGTGTTAGTTCATTTGTCGTTTCCTCTCGACCATCCGGCCCCAAAAATACAAAAGTTCATACTCAGAAGACTTCGTGTGACAGGTCTCAGGTAGATAGATGTCCGATGGGCTCTGTGGTCAAACAAATCTCTTTCAGGTACCTTAAGAAGAAATAGCTTTCCACGGTGTGGGCAGCCGGGAAGTCTCAACCGCCCTCACAACTCTATCAGCACTCAAGTTCCCTCAGACTGCTATCCACCTCCCCCATCATTACCTTCTAATCTTCCTTCACGTCTCTCAACTAACGATACTACATCATCTTCAATTTCTGGTAGCTCTGTAGCCTTCGACAACGATCTGAGTCCACAAAACAGCATTCTTGGTCTCCTTAAACCAGGCCTTCAATGTCTACACCCTCCGTCAAATTGGTCAACAGGCTTCGTTGGCAAAGACTCTAGCAACTCGGGGCATGGATGTGTGCTGTGTTTGTGGGACACGCATACACGACCCAAGTGTGGTTATTCACCTGACTTCTCCCGGCCAATCTGGTGAATCTGCGAAATTCACCCTTTGAGTTTCTGGAGATTCGATAGCTAGCTCTCGGAGTCTCGCAGGTGTAGGTATAGCATTAAACACTAGAGCAGACAACTCACTACTAGACTAGATCCCAGTTGATAGTCACCTCTGTGCTATCCGACTGAACGGCACAGTGAGAACTAAAAGGAATAGTGAGACTCGCCGTTGTCTCTTTGTAATCTCTGCTTACGCACCCACTGACTGCAGCTCGGATGAAGTGAAGGACGAGTTCTACCGTGAACTGTCTAACCTCCTCTCGAAAGCCAAACGTTCGGACGTAGTGGTTGTTGCAGGTGACCTCAACGCACAGGTGGGTAGACTGAGTGAGGCAGAAAGGCACTTAGGTGGCACTTTCGGAATCCCAGCTGAACGTACAGATAACGGTGATCGCCTATTACAACTATGCTCAGATAACCGCCTATTTTTAGCCAGCACAAATTTCAGACATAAAGAAAGGCACTGTCTGACCTGGCGTCCACCGAGCTCAACTCAGCGATGGACACAGATAGACCACATTGCTATTAGTCATCGCTGGAGAGGATCGGTGGAAGACTGCCGCTCCTTCTGGAGTACGTGTTTGGACAGCGATCATGCGTTGGTCCGAGCACGTATATGCCTGCGTCTCAATGGACGTAGAAAAAATTTGGCAACAAAACCACCACGAATGTTGCTGGACAACGGAAACACCAAAGCCGTGTTCAGTGAGAAGTTGGCTAGGCAGTTATCGGAACAAAAGACTGTCACTCATCCAGAAGAAGCTTGGTGCCATCTTCAGTCTGCTGTAAAAGCAGCGCTAAAGACTGTAACCGACTCTGAAATAGTGGCTAAAAAGAGCCGTTGGATATCAGCAGCTTCTTCCAAACTAATGGATGAACATGAATGCATCCCTGCAGGCTCTGAGTACAATGAAGAGCGAGCGCAACTTAAAAATAGACTAAGAAAAAGTCTGCGCAACGACCACAAACAGTGGTGGGTATCGAAGGCTAAAGAGATGGAAAAGGCAGCGGCGATCGGTAACAGTAGACAGTTATTTAGACTTATTAAGGAGACTGGGGGAAAAAGGTCAACAACAGTTAGTGAGGCTATAGCGGAGAAGGACGGATCTGCGATTCACTCGCAGGGGAGACGACTGGAACGATGGGCAGAACACTTCGAGGAACAGTTTAGCTGGCCTACTGCCACCATTGCGTTGCCCGCTATCCAGTCGGATCCTGAATGGGACATAGAGATAGATCCCCCAACACTAGCAAAAGTCGAGAAGCCAGTAGGTAACCTCAAACGAGGAAAAGCGGTGGGACCAGATGGACTAACTCCTGAGGAATACAAGAATGGTGGTAGAGTGCTCTTAGCCAGGTTGAAGAAAATACTAACTAGTATATGGGAATCAAATACGATCCCCTCTGACTGGTCTAAATCACTAATTATTCCAGTCTTCAAGAAAGGCGAGAAGTCCTCTTGTGATAACCACAAAGGAATCAGCCTGACGATCATAGTGTCCAAGATCCTATGTTCTATAATTCCTCGATGCCTGATTGGAGCTCAGGAACAGCAAGCCCGAGAAAACCAAGCAGGCTTTAGACCCAATCGTGGGTGTATCGACCAAATATTCACACTACCCCAGGTCCTGGAACATAGGCACGCTTACCGACACTCGACACTGGCTGTATTTCTCGACTTGAAAGTGACGGCATTTGACTCCGTTGATCGAGAAGTCTAATGGCAATGTCTTTCACTGAAAGGTGTGCTGAATGAGGGCATCACCTTATTGAAGGCTCTCTACTCGAACACTTGTGGGCATATTAGAGCCTATGGTGAGATATCCAGGGAGCTGTGCTCGTCCAGTGGTGTCTGTCAAGACCACCCACTCTCCATTCTTACTAAATTTTATCATAGATATTCTTATGGAGTTCTCCCTGTCGTCACCTGATTACACAGAGGTTGACCCAACCGCAAGAGAATTTTCGTTAGACCTAGAATATGCAGATGATGTTGTCCTGTTAGGTGAAGATGCAGAGTCTTCTGAACACTTTGAGTGGGAATTTGAGGATGTTTGGGATGCGGTTCTCACAGTCCAAATGCAAATTGTTGCTCCAGGACTGGTCTTCAACGGTACCACGGCTCACATTAGAGAGTGAAGTGATTGAATGTGTTGACCACTTCACTTACCTGGGAAGTAGGATCATCCCTGGTGGCTCAGTGGCCGATGAAATCTCTGCACGGATAGAAAGGCTCGATTGGCTTTTGCCAATTTACGCCACCTATGGTGCCGCCGTGATATCCGTTTGTCTACTAAGGGTCTCATGTACTACACAGCAGTCCGGTCTGTTTTACTGTATGCCTGTGAAACATGGCCATTGAAGGTGGAAGACATGAGAAGGCAGGCTTCAAGTGTTTGACCACCGTTGTCTTCGTAGTATAGGCCGTATTCCGTGGTGTTACCACGTGAGTATTGCAGAAGTCAGGAGTAGAGTTTTAGGGAGTAGAGGTAAATCAGTTGACGAGGTTATGAACCTTCATCGATTGAGATGGTTGGAACACGTACTACGTATACCTAGTCACCGATTGCCTCGTCACACAATATTGGCCGAAGTAGGCACAGGCTGGAAAAAGGCTCGAGGTAGGCAGACTAAAACATGGCACCAATATATGAAGTCTCTGACTGTTGGTTTGAGCCATGTGGGGCAACGCAGACTAGGTGGTTGGGGTCCGCGGGAAAAGAGGAACCAGTGGTTGGAGACTCTAGGTGATATGGCTCAGAACCGATGTCAGTGGCGCAGATGTATACACACATTATCGTCCTCTTAACGACGCTATACAGAGTTCCACCACTTAGTCATTCCTCTTTTCTTTCTCCTCGTACTTAATGTTTCTTTTGACTGCATTCTATTATCTTCATCCTTCACCTCACTACCTTTCTACTTGATGTACTGTACTGAGCTGTGGCAAGCCGGACCGTTACGCAGTAATGCCTGGTCCTATGTTGGTATTGATTGATTGATTGGTATTAGCGGTAAGATAGTTCCTACACCCTTTTGCATTCCACAAGCAAATTCCGTACATACATAACAAAAAGAAGTGTGATTCCATTTTAGTCTGTTTATTAGACGTATCACGCAGTGAAACAGCATTATTTAATGGATTACGCTTTGGATATAATTTATCGTTCATATTCATTCCAAGAAACCCCACAACTTTGAGATATGGTTTACAATGATCTTATTTTCTCACCTCCTTTGCGATATGAGTAGCAGGAGTTTCCATACGTCCGGAACAGGTGCTGAGTCAATCCCGTGGCATGTATTAGGTGTTGATTCGATAAACAAAGATTCAGTTATCGATCTTTCCTTTTACCCCGCTATGTTAGTTTTAAGGATTTTCATATGATATTAGTATGAGCGATAAATTCTGCTCGAAGCATCATCCAGTAAATTTTACTGCATCAGTGTGTGCTACATCAAATAAGCAACCTAATATGGAGTTAAGGAGTTTCACCCTGCTTCAGCCTATTGTGTGGTTGTGTGCAATTGCATGCATAGCTATAGCCGAGCCTTTCTCCAAATTCCTTATCTTATTAAGATTTAAAAATTTTAACCTGGCTAGGCTTTTGTGCTCGGATAGCCTAATTGACCCTGGTCGACTGCTTTGACTTATGTATTTCACCTCGTAATCGTTGCAAGGGATTTGGTAAACTAAATCAGTTTGCCTAACTGGATCAGTAGGATCTTTTGGCTGTAGTTCTAACACAGACAGTAACAGTAATTCTACTACTAATAATAATAGTGGTAGTAATATAGGTGACAGGGTTGAGAGAGAATTCAATGCCTTCTCTATGTTACCGTACAAAGAAGGCAACTCAAAATAGTTACGAAGAGTTCTCAAAAACGCTGTGATTACAGTGGAATTTAAACTAAGAAACTGGCTTAGAAACAAGCTTTTTAGGTGAAAGATACTATTGATCCAACTAAGAAGAACAATTTAGTTCACCAAATCCCTTGCAACGATTGTGAGGTCAAATACATAGGGCACAGTTGTCAACCACGGTCAATTAGGATGACAGAGCACAAAATCTTAGCTAGACTAGATCATGATGAGATGAGGAAATTTGGAGAAAAGCTCGGCTATAGCTCTGCAGGCGATTGCATACAATCATACAATAGGGTGGGATAGAGCGACAGTGTTAAAAACTTAGTTGGGTGGGGGGAGAGATTGACAACCGAATCCTTACTTATTGAATAAACCTCAAATACATGCAATAGGAATGATTCATCACCTGTTATAGATATATGGAAAATTCTACTACCCTTATCACAAAGAAGAAAAGATTAAAACTATCCAAAGTATGTCTTAAAGTTGTGTAGTTATCTTGGTATGACTGTGGACAATAAATTATGTCCGAAACATAATCCAGTAAATTACGCTATTTCAATGTGTGATAACATCTAATGAACGGATTAAAATGGAATCACAATTTACCACAGTATCCAAGTTTTGCTTTTGTATTAAAAACGAGTGTACTACTGCAACACATTGCCACAAGATGTTTACTCAGAAAAATTTTTCCACTTATACTGTAGTGTTATACAACCGAATCGGTAGGCCAAATAGAGTTACTGTGGTGGTAGATGAAATAATTCATGTATCTAACTGTCATTGACCTTCTTTGAGATAGTCTCATTTCGATCAACTGGTATTATTGTGATGGGGTTATGATTAGAAAAGAAATGGAAACTTGAAAAGAAATAAAGAACCCTCAGTGAAACTGAGGCCGGGTTGGGAGCCAGGCATGAAGCTACAGGTCAATAACCTAAAGGACACTGGTTCAAATTCAAGGGTATATTTTTTCTTGTTTTAAATGAGATTCAACTCTATCATATCTAAATATTCCATCCTACATGTGTATTTGTAATCGATTATAAAGCAAAATTATTTGAAGGAAATGCACAGTATCTCAACATTTTCAATAAGCACAGAAAGTTGGATTTACATTATTAGCTGTCTGCTAACTAAAATAGGTTTAACAATCGATGACCATATTTCTCTTTGGAAATCAGTAAAGCAGAAGAAAATAGTTCCGTAAGAAGTTTGAAATTATGAGTAAGTAAAAATGATACGAATATGGGGAAACATTAAGAAAAAAAGCATAAACTTTACTGTTACACATGATACTTGCCAGTGTTCAAGTAATATCATTACCTACAGTAAAACGCAGTTAGAAATGTATGCTTAAGTTCAGCATCCCAATTCATGTTCGTCAGTGGTAGGTGTAGTAGTTGCATGCAAATATCATACTGATCGAGATAAGCTATGTTGCTGAAAGGGTTCATTGGATCAGGGCATATTACACCCGAATGGATAAGTGGGGAGTGGTTATATGATAGGCAAATACAATCGTGGTCTTAAATCAACGTCGGTTATACACAGATTTTACGGTGCACCTTCCTCTGAAGTAATATATGCCAGAATGAATAGTAAGATATACTGAATATATCAACATAACTTCTCGTTGAAAATCATCTACATTTTACAATGTTAAGTTAACATTTACTAATCATTCAAGTATTCTGACTCGATAAAAACTTTTTACGTTAGACGAAAGTGGAATCGGCACTCAACCATACAATCAATGATAAACTCTAGTAATTTGGAACTGCGAGTTTAATGACTCTTTTGGACTTAATATTAGTAAACCTTCCACGAATAATGTAGAGCTGTGGTTCCTAGGGTTGAGCAGTTAACTTCTAACCAGTGGGTCACACGTTCGAACCCGGCTTCATCTACCGAGGTTTGAGCAGCCATATGGTATCACTAACCTTCACACAATAGATTTGGTACGTTATCTACAGCGCAAACGTGTATTTGATCGTGGAGTGCATTTCAATTCGATTTCAATCCATAAATACTGTCTCAAGTACTCAAAATAGATTCACAGTCTATTACTTATACTTAGAAAACAAAATGGTCAATTTTAACGACACTGTCTGATTGTTTTGATGAAAAAAAGGTCTACAGAGAATTCATCTTTTACAAATTCTACGTATCGGTTAGGTTACTGTAGCTGAATAATTACGATGAACTTAACCAGAGGAATGCGTCAACGATAATCCCTTTGATCTATCCTATGGCAATTTCGTTTAGCCAAAAACGAGTAGAGGTAAGTATTACCTAAAATAGAATCGCATATATTTGATCTCCAGTATACTTCAATTTGAAAATGAATTTCGAAAATAGAATACAGAAACTTTGATGTTACAACTTAGCATACGGAACTCACTGGAGAGTAACTAGCTTCATGTGGTCTAATGCCAATGGCTGATGGAATTCAACCGATCATAAGTAAAATCCATCTAAGGTATCTTTGAAAACATACCGTAAATTGATGAAACAGTGGTTTATTAGTTACTCGGATAACTAGGAAGGACTAACACAATCCAGCAACTAAACATAGTTTCATATATTTAGCTACGGATCACAAATATTCTATAACGCCTAGTGATATTATAAACACAATTGGTGTTTTTCAAGTTGGTATTCGTCATGGACTGATATCAGATAGAGGAAGATTAGAAACCTAGGAGCACTGAACAGCTGTTTCGTCTTAGTATAGGACACCTCATAGATTCACACCCATGACCCCATCCGGCCCGAGGTTAAGTTCAGGACCTTCAGGTTCCACAGCTAGCGCGTTACCATTGAACCACTGGGTCGTAATCCAGTGGTCCATATTCCCTACTTCTGTCAGCTCACGACAGTTCACCAACACTCAATTGGTGTTGATGAAAATGTTTCATATCATAGTTTTGTTATTTCTTTTGCGCTGATTTATTGAAATGATAATAATGTAACATTAAGCAGGTGAAGATAAAGGATATTTTAGGGAATGTGGCAAAAACATATTAAAATGAGTTCAGTTATATACAGCTAACAATGACCCTAAACTATAGTTATAATACATAAAATAGAAGTCTTCAAACTTTACCTGATTCACACATATATTAAACTGCTTATCATCATCCATAAAAGCTTTATAGTTCATCAATAGAGATTCATGTAAGAGACAATCAATACACTGAAGATTAGATTCTTTATGCTTTAAATCATTTGTCCTTAGTGACGGCGATTGCAGCAGTGCCCCTCTACTATTGTTATCAACATCACCATCACATCTAGCATATCGTATGACAGTCAACACCACTTCACATGTGGCAGATGAAACCAACTGTACAGCAGCATCTTGAGATAGTCCTGTAATTAGTTGACCGTTTACAGATATTAGTCTATCACCAATTTGTAGATATGGTGGAGTCAATAAAAACCCATTGGATTTGAACAAATCAATCCTTCCATCCTTTTGAAGTAATTTTGCATGACTTGCTCCACCTTCCGGATTAATACCCCGCACATAAATTCCAAGATCTTGACCATACTCTGACTGAAAGAAGTAGCAAACAGAAGAATATTTTCAAAAAAGTATCTAAGAACATATGTATACATCGGGTATGAAAAATTCAATACAGTCATAAAGTACCTGGTTGAAGGAATTCACGATAGGATATGCATTGCAATAATTGACAATTTCACATAACTACTTAAAATAAAAACGATGTATACCGTTCACATAAAAATCCTAACAATCGTAGCTTATTAGCCAGTGGAGTATGAACTAATCTTCTGTAAAATCAGTAATTCCGTATAGGCCTGTGTACTAAGGACTAAAAACCGTAGCTATTGTGAGAGTTGACATCACTTACCTGTTTCTCATGATCTAGTTATATACACTAAGATTAGACTTGGAACTTGAATGTCTTCTCTGTACTTCCTATCTTGGGATTTCAGTTAGGCATCACCTGATTATGAATCCTGGAATATTAAGACCTACAACAAGCAGGCTAATTTCTTACTCTGGTTACCATACAAAGGTTTTGTTCCTTCCTCTTTTGTTGACTCAAACGGCAGGTGATCAGTAGCATTTAGAGAAAGGTACGTTAAACATAAGGTCATTGATGTGAAGTCAACAAGTACTGGGGAATGAGGATATTTGTACTTATGCATGTTATTCAACAGATGACACCACAACAAGGAACTAAAGTTTTAGGTAGCTGATGGCCTACAGGAGAAATAGAAAGAATTCATATCACTTTTCTACTTTTTGTGACAAAGATAAACGGCAGAAATCATTTAGAATGTTGGAATCTGAGTGCTAAATAAAATATAAATAAAGCTGCCAATTTTACGAAGCATATTTTCAGTTTCAACCTCGCCTGGTTAACTAGTTTACTAGTTACTAGCCGGTCCTAAGCCCGGGTAAAGAGGGAAGGTTGGGCATAGGGCTAGCAACCCTACCCCGTAAAACAAATCTAACCGCTAAAGAAACTTCAAAGCACAAACAAAATATAAAAAATGAAAACAAACTTATTCCCCGCTGGAATCGGAGAGGCGAAATGACGCCAGTTGGTGAAAGCCTTCGGGAAGCCAATTGGCCGATGTGTCTTCTCTCGATGAAAGCGAAAGTAAACGTGGGGACATGGAATGTCCGCACGATGTTTGAACCCAGTAAGGCAGCCCAGATTGCAAGGGAGATGAGAAGGTATAACATCGAAGTGCTTGGGATTTGCGAAAGCAGATGGAATGGGAGTGGACTCTCCAAACTGTCAACTGGAGAATCAATAATCTACTCCGGTCACCCAGACGCCAACCACGAGCACACTGAGGGAGTGGCTATCATGATGTCCTCAAGAGCATCGAAGGCTCTCATGCAGTGGGAACCAATCTCCTCCAGGATCATGACAGCAAGATTCAACTCAAAAGGAAGAAAGGTCACAATCATACAATGTTATGCACCTACAAATAATGCAGAGCAAGAGAAAAAGGAGGATTTCTACAGACAACTTCAATCAACACTGGACAAGACGTCAGTTGGCGATATCAAAATTCTGATGGGCGACATGAATGCCAAACTGGGAGGGGACAACACGGGAAGAGAACTAACCATGGGTCGAGAGGCACTAGGTGAAATGAATGAGAATGGAGAATTGTTTGCAGAATTCTGCGCATTCAACGATTTGGTGATTGGAGGCAGTGTGTTCAGGCACAAAGATATCCACAAAGCGACATGGATTTCACCAGATGGACACACTAAAAATCAAATCGACTTTATCTCAATCTCAAGAAAATGGAGACGCAGTCTACTTAACACGAGGTCAAGAAGAGGAGCAGATGTAGGTTCAGACCACTACCTAGTGCAAGGAACCTTCCAAATCAAGTTAAAAGCCTTCAAGGAAGCTGGTGATAGACCTCAATTCAAGTACAACACTCGGAAACTGAAGGATGAAACTACAAAGGAGATCTTCAAGGCAGCCATCAAGACAAAATGGGAGACATCGAGCAACATCCCTGAAGAAACCTGTGTGGAAGAACATTGGAAGTCTTTGAAAGCTATGTGGAAAGAAACCTGCACAACAGTATTAGGAAGGAAGAAGGTGGAAGACAAGGAATGGATCTCGACGGATACCTGGAAGCTGATAGAGGAGAGGAGGATGGTGAAGCGGAAGATAAACCAGTGCAAGGATGCTCAACGACAAGAGGAACTGAGCACAATGTATAAAACACTGGACAAAGAAGTGAAGAAGAGTGCACGCAACGACAAAAGACACTTCTACGAAACACTGGCAAGTGAAGCAGAACAGGCTGCAGGTAAGAGAGACCTGACGACATTGTATCAAATAACCAGGTTGCTGTCAGGGAAGAGACCAACACAGATGAAACCAATAAAAGATGAAGAAGGAAATTTAATTACAAAAGAAGAGAAACAGAGGAAACGATGGGCCGACCACTTCAAGAAGCTCTTGAATCGACCACCACCTGCACTTCGTCCAGAAATACCACCTGCAGCCGCTGAACTACAAGTGAACATTAATCCCCCAACGAAAATGGAAGTCCTGAACGCCATAAAGCTACTGAAATGTGGGAAAGCAGCAGGACCAGATGGAATACCGCCAGAAGCACTGAAAACAGATGCAGAGACAACAGCGGCCATGCTCACACCACTATTGCAGAAGGTGTGGAAGGAAGAGAAGGTACCTGACGATTGGAAGAAGGGTTACCTTGTCAAACTGCCGAAGAAGGGAGACCTCAGTGCTTGCAAGAACTGGCGCGGAATCACTCTCCTGTCCACCCCAAGTAAAATATTAAGCCGCATCATCCTGGAGAGGCTAAGGGATGCACTGGATTCAAAACTACGACCGGAACAGGCAGGCTTCAGGAAGTACAAATCATGTGCAGACCAAATTGCAACGCTTCGCATCATCATAGAACAGAGCATAGAATGGCAATCACCTCTCCACCTCAACTTCATCGACTTTGAGAAGGCCTTTGACAGCGTCGACCGAGAGGTAATTTGGAAGCTGCTTCATTACTACGGAGTGCCGCAAACCTTTATCCGCCTCATTCAACAACTATATGAAGATGCCACATGCCAAGTAATCCACAATGGGAAGCTCAGTGATGCCTTTGAAGTGAAGACAGGAGTGAAACAAGGTTGCCTACTATCCCCCATGATATTCCTTATTGTGGTGGACTGGATCATGCAGCAAACAGTAGGCAGCGAGAAGAGGGGGATACACTGGACGACGGAAAAGAACCTAGAAGACTTGGATTTCGCCGATGACTTATGCCTAATGTCACATAAACTTGAAGATCTGCAGGCAAAAACTAACAAGTTGATAGAAGAGGCAGCGAAGACGGGACTTCAGGTGAATATAGAGAAGACAGAAGTGATGAAGATACCGCACCACCACCATCAACAACAACAAACTCCAATCACTGTCAACGGGAGAAACTTAAAGGAAGTAACCTCCTTCACTTATCTAGGAAGCACTGTTTCAACTACAGGCGGGACGGACGAGGACGTCAAAGTCAGAATCGGAAAAGCAAGACAGGCATTCATTAGCCTGAAACCAGTGTGGAGATCTTCTGCACTCAGCATGCGGAACAAGATACGGATTTTCAACACCAACGTCAAGTCAGTGCTCTTGTATGGCTCAGAGACTTGGCGCGTCACGAAAGGTATTTCCAATAAACTACAGACATTCATCAACAACTGCTTACGCTCGCTGCTGAAGATCAGATGGCCAGAAAAAATAAGCAACAAGGAACTCTGGGAACGAACCAACCAAGAACCTATCACGCAACAAATATGCAGGAAGAAGTGGAGATGGATTGGCCATGCACTGAGAAGGCCGACTGAGGACATCACGCGTCAGGCCCTCGAGTGGAATCCCCATGGGAAGCGACGAGTTGGACGTCCAAGGGTGACATGGAGGAGGTCGTGCGAGCAGGAAATGAGAGCTTCTGGGCTGTCGTGGGACCAGGTTCAAAAGATCTCAGAGAACAGAGGTCACTGGAGGCGTGCTACTGAAGCCCTATGTTCCACTAGGAACCCAAGGGACTAATAATAATATTAATAATAATATTTTCAGTTTCAGGGTAAACCTGGAGATAAAAACAAGCACAGTACACTTTTCTCTAGTGCGTTAAGTCAATTTAACAACGGCCATGATCATATTCTGTAAACGTCGCATCAAGTAGACATAGGAAATAAAGTTGGATTACAAACAAGATAGAACATTACAAATAAAATATCTAAATAAAAGTGGAAACATCAAAAAGATGATTATCCATCTTTCCCCAGGAAAAGAAACGGAATTCAAGGAATATTCAAATTGTAAGAAGAGTTTCCTGGGAGCCGTTTCGTTCTGGTATGGGACTCCTGTGACTTCGTTGGGTGAACATGAAGGAATTAAATACTAGTTCGATAAGAGATATGCTATACAGAGCATTCTGTAAACTCAACATAAAAAGGATCAACCAACGACAAACTATTTCCATATGTAAAACGTTTTGAAACACATCAACTACTTTGATTAATTATTCCCTGTAACTGCTTCTAATCTTTTAACTTCTTGCGTTGAGAAACTAAACTGCAGACAACCTGTCACATTCAAAATCAACAGAACATACTGAAATTCTACAGACAGAGTGATACTAACTGTACATCAATCCTGTTGTTTAGCTTAAGGATGAAAATTCCTAGTGGAGAATATCCCCCACTTAAGACAACTCACAGATAGTAGTTGTTGTAACAACAATCACCTGAAAAATAACTACTTCAGTTTCATATTTTTGCACGATATTGTTACGAACTATTCTTATCAAAAGAATTGTACTCACAGGTGTTAAATGACTTTAAAGTTCACTAGGAAGAACAGATATCACTAAATGTGTTTGTTATTCCACGTTTTTGCAAAAATTGTTTACATCTAATGTATATCAATAAGGGAAGGAAAATAGATTATCATCAGCACATACATACATGGGAAAACAATGATGATAGCATAACTCACTCTAGCAGCTACAATACTGAGACCTAAACTTTGTCCAATTTTAGGTACAACAACTGAGTAAGTACAGTGTCCACTGCATGACTGATCTAGTAGAGAATCACATGTTGGAATCGGCATAGGTGACGACTGATTTTGGACAGACTCAATATTATTATTAGTAGTAGTATTATCATGATTGATCGGATTCGGCACAACCTTATCAGTCTGCTAAAAGGTGGATACAAATGTTGGATGAACATCAGATTAGTAGAGCGAAAAGAAATAAGTGTATCATTTAGATTGAATATGTGACACATTATGCAACGTAGTTGGTCCAATCAATCCAGATAGATTCTGTTCGTATAACGATTTTAATTAGTGAAAGTGACATATAGAGTTGGGATGAACTTTCGTTGGTGACAGAAGGTTACTGATTCCAACTTAAATATCCTTACCAGCTTCAGGCACGTTTCTGGTATTTTCAAGGGCTTTCTATGTAATATATAAGCGTTACTTTATTTTTGAATTAAATATAAACAGACTGTCAATCAGGTTGGTATTCATCCTGGATTGACATCACTTGGTGAAACATTGTAAAGCTTGGAGCACTGGACAGCTTTTCCCTCCTAGTATGGAACTCCTCAGAAGTGCGCACTCATGATCCCGCCCCGCCAGGGATCGAAGCCAAGACCTTCAGGTTCCGCGGCTAGCACGTAACCATTGACCCACTGGTCCATATTTCCTACTTCTGTCAGTTCATGATACAGCGCGACTTCCATCCAGTGCCGTCGTTGAGTAGCTGTCCTCACGTTCGACTTAGTTGGCCCCACGGGTCATGACTTCGTATTGGAACTTCGGGAATCACCTCCTACAGCTAGTCACCAATGAGCACTCTATTAATTCTATTCTGAGCTTGTTCATTCCATAAGTGATGCGCCTAAATATTCAATATGTGTTAAGTGCACCGAAACGTTTCTTAAATAATAAGAATAATTACTTGTAAGAAATTTTTATGGATGGAGTAGAGCTGTGGGTAAATTTAAAGTGACAGTTTGATTGATGCAGTATCGGGATACATGATGCACATAGGTTACAAAGTTTATTCTTGAAGGCTTAGTCATTCTTAGCTAGAATAAAGATTCGAGAATTCAAAATTCGCGGTAAACGTAATTATCATGACGAATAAAGTTTCAGTGATATTAGAAAGATCACGACAGCCAGTTCACTTCACTGGACCAAAGAGATATGACCATGGATACGCGAAATGCATTTCTCTTTCGGTGAAATGAGACTTAGCAATTAATAACTTTACGATGCCATGATCGTTGTAGTAGTAATAGTAGTAGTAGTAGATTATTTACATATTGCTGAGAATTGTAATATCAGGGCTATATCCAAACCATGGTCTTCTCCAAAAAAACAAATAAAAAACTTAGTTTCCCGTAGCCAAACTTTTGTTTTCAGAGAAGAATGAATTAAAACTACAAGGGAACTTCTATAAAAGTGTCTTGAATGAAGTGTACTCATAAGTTCTCAGTTGACTTAAGGGCGAAAATCAAACTATATGTTTTTAATGTTAGTACTACAGCTGATTAAAATTTCCTGCAGTTGCTTGTTTATCCAACTTCAGTTTAAACTATTTACTATCACTGTATTTGCATTACTTCATTATTATAGATACCAACTACTAGTCACAGGAGCTAACAATGATCTGTCCTATTTGTATCACAGCGATATGGTTAACTAACCCAGCAGGAGAGTCAGACATCAAACAAGATGATTGATCTGGAGAGTGACTGTCTGAATATAATCAATTTCAGCAGATTATTTTTCATGAGAACTGGTTAATATACTCCACAAACGGATGATGATATAAGTTTCTTATTTATAGCCTAAATTCAAATGAATAATATTACAACTCAGCATCATCGTGAGCCACTCCAAATGCGTACGGCATCACTCAGGTGTCAGACCAAAGTAGGTTAAGCAGGGTTCTGATACGATATCCAGCGGTTGGTAGCCATAAACCTAGACTAATAAGCCACAGGAAGTACAGGAGGGCCCTCAAAAAGATCTTTAGGTATACAATTGATAACCGGTGTAAGGTAGTAAGTAGTATTCACAGGTGCATCGCATACGGGGTAGTGATTATGTCGCTGGTAGTATATGGTATGCCATGATACGCATGTATCACCATCCATCCGTAATCCGAAAGCAGTTGCTTCAGTGTCTCCCGATTAGAGACTGCCCTTGAATTACAGGTGTTGAATAAGCCAATAATTTACATTTATTCCTGATTATTTCGTGATGAAAGTGAATTGATGAAATTACTATCTGACTGATGTTTTTAGTTACATTGATCGGTCATTAGAGAAGAACACATCCCATGTTGTATGGACCTAAGTGCTGATCGAATCCCACTGATCATTACACAACGTGGTCGCCAAGCTTGGAGGCCCACTATCGCAGTAGTGATACAGTGTGAAAACAGATACAGGATAAGCGATCTGTCTAAGAGGCAGAATACAAGTACATATATATATATATATATATATATATATATATATATATATATAAGGTACATGGATCGCATTTATTTATTTGCTTTAACCCTGTCTCCTTTTGTGCAATGACTTTCTACAGCTTGCACTGTTTATTTCTTTTTGTGTTTTGCTTTGTTTCTTTATATGAAGTCAGGTAACTTGAACCATAACAGAGTAATACCACGTAGTATGTTGAAATTGCCTGGCTGCTCTGGAACACAGTGAGAGTACTGCACAAGCTACATACATCATAATACAAAAATAGATTTAGGTCTACGTTGTTAGTGAGGAAATATATGTTAAGGAAAAAAAGCTGGTTGCTACTAATACTTTTATGATAGTGCTGGTCATTCAAACAATGAGTTGAATGTCAACAGACTGATGAACACACCTGTAGGATGAGAAACGACAAACTTTCTTTGATGTCACTTACGTAAGACTATGGAAAGCGTTATCTAATTGCTGGTAATACATCAGCATGAAAACTACATGACTATTTCGTTCTAATTCAAAGCTATTCAGAATTGAGCAACCTTGTTACCATAGGAAAGCGGAATATTAAGTGCCTTAGGGAATACCTAATCCATCACTTACTAAGTATGAGTTCTTAAGCTCCAATCAACTAGTCATATATTCTTGGTCTTTCGTTTATCTCCTATTCTTTTCATTCAACGGTAGTCACAACAACTTAAATTATTTTCATGGTAACATTGGTATGCAGTTATTCTAGGTCGTGAGGTGTTTCACGTAATAGAGCTCAATTAATATCGAAGTTCAAAGTGAAGACAAATATTTACAGATGATATTGGATGAAAATTATGCCACACCGTACAGCATAGATAATCAGGTGTTCAAAACTAAATGTGAACTAAAATACACAGTGGTCGGCTACTGACGATTGCTTACCGTTTCATTTTTACATTGCACGCCATCAGTACTACAGTTCACTGAAATGGTTACACGTTCATCTGATTTGACGGTATCGTCTTTTATACTTTCGTAATCGACAGATAACTTTGGATCCACCAAATAAACATTCCATCGTAGAAACTGTGATGAGTTCTGAGAAACACTCATTCTCTTATCTGAGACAGACTCGTCTACTGATAGTGATGTATTATCGACACGAACAACGTTGGGTTTCACTGATAAACGACACCAACCGATTTGGATAGCAGGATTAAGGAAATACTTGATTGATTCAACGGTAATTACAGCTGTACTAACATTTTCAGCTGAAGAATGATTCTTGTCTTTTGTTGAACTACTTCGACTGCATATACCACTATCGTCATAACTGACAGTAGTTTCGTCTTTTTGTCCCACAGTGGGTATTGGATTATCAGATGGATAACAGTCTTCAGGCAATAAAAATGGTAAGTGCAGATCTAGTGGCTCACCAAGTTCTAAAAGTTTTGATTTTGTATTACCATCATGATTTGTGATGCTGTTGTTTAATTCTTCTAGCTCATCATTTGTTAGACACATACCTTCTTCAGTCAGGATTCGATCTGCAACCTAAAGAGATCACATAATCTACTAGATTATCCCAGAATAATATAATATCTTATTTTATTCGATTGCAGTAACCGATAGATTTTCCCATTTGTCTGCAATCCGAGTCATTGAATCATACTAACATGCGCAAGTCAGTAAAGCAAAAGAACAGAAAAGCGGTTTTCTACTCGAATCCCTATGAAATAACAATGAAAGTCCAAGGACTGAGGAACTCACAACACAATGCGCAAACGATAATCAACCAGTGCGTTAAAGACCTTTCACAACAATCAACAGATAGGCGACCTCAAGTGTACTCTAGGGTTGTCAATACTGTTACTAGTGTGTTCGGAATAGAGCAGTTATTCCAATTCCAATGCTTTGGTGATGAGTTATATTTTCCAGAGGAATTCTGCAAACCTTATGGTCTTTATATTTTACATGAGGGTAGTATTATTCCCCAATTCATAACTTGTGTAGGTAACAATCTTTTCCACTGTAGCTGAGTTACACTGATAGTAATATGCAATACATGAAAAATGTCAGGTAATCATTGATACAACATGTGGTAAAGTTATTCAAATAATGAAGTAAATAATCTAGGATCATAAAACTGGACAATTATTAGGTTTTTACCTAACCAGATGGCTACCAAAAATGTTGAAAACAAGAACATGTGTAGGTTAGATGGGTGGTTTCTATGGTATGTTCATCAAATTTACCGATATTATACTAAGCAAAAGGTGTTTTCCTGATGTGTACATTATTTAAAAATTATAGATCATTTACCTTACATCTCCTTCCTCAAATCAACTGTCTTCTAAAGCACTATTTAGTATCGTTACGGAGTGATGACTGAATTGAAATGAAGACATGGGTCGGAGCAGGACTCGAAATACATAGGGGTTCGGATTATTGGCGCAGTGCTGCTACCAGCTGCTGACCAAGTCTTGAGTTCACTTCAATCATCCAGCTGGATAAGAGAAGGAAAGTAATCTGAGATAATCATGGTTTGCCAGACTGGTATCATTGATACGCGATGGCTGAAGGGCTTAGTAGTTCTGCTGGTAGGACGCAGACTTGATAGTTCGAAGGTCGTTGGTTAGAATCCTGTTGCGAACTAGGTTTTGATTTCATCAGCAATTATAATCCTATGTCGGTAATATTAGTCTGTCAAACTACAGCTGTTTCAGAAAGTCTCATCAGAAATTAATATCGATTATCTGAGAAAATGTCATGAATAAATTTTACATCCCAACAGTGGCAAATATATACTGTATCCTCTTGAAAGAAAGTGAAACAAGTCAAGAAAACGTACTAGTTATTTGGTAATGTCCGTCTTCACTGCGAATTTGTGCAGTGATTAAGGCACTTGGTCCCAATGAACTCATGCAAACTGAATTTCCCAGATTGAAAAAGCTGTATGAAATGTCATTTCTAATTGAACAAAAGTATCACGTCAAGTGTAGCTAGAATATCTAGTTTAAGGATACACTAATGCACTAAAAGTTCACAAAGCGGTAAATACAAATGTATAACGTGTTCAAACAAGTATTATTTTGGACGATTGGGGTGGATTTATAGAATTCGATCTTTAAAATCTCTGTATTGAAAGTATCAATACCTAAAAATAAGAAGGCAATATGAATACAACTAAGTAACCATTCGTAGCTAGGTATGTTTACTCAGCAGGTGTTAGACATATATGTTATTAATTAGGGGTGAAGATCACAGCTTTCCACTACTATGTGAACTTACCATGTGTTGAAAAGTGAGATCATCAGGATGGTACCGTATATCTAGAAGTCCTGCTTGTTGATACCACTAAGTATGATGAGTTATTCTTGAGAAACTGAAGCTCCGCTAGATATTATCACATGGTCAAACGTTCATATAAAAAGGTATGATGAGTAAGCGACTACGACCATGATCATCAATCATCCAGAAAGCTTAGAACTTCTCAGTTTTTAAGATATATATAGTTGATAATAGTGCAGCTAGGTCTACAGCTTCCTACTTATTACATTCACTCATAAACGTAGTATAACATAATACCATTGGATATCTCATATCAAATTCTTCCCTTTCAGTTTGTTTTAATCTTTCAAATTTGTACTCAAAACGTATCATCTACTCTCGCGGATTTTTAAAATAATCTGAACTAGCCGTTTTTGGAATTAATAACAAAATGAAGGAAAAATGTCATATTGGACGGAAA